TATATATATATATATATATATATATATATATATATATATAATATCATGTGGTTATGTAATTACCACGGTTTAAAAAAAACAACGTAAATTAGATATGCCAAAGTAAGCCCCTGGGTAAAATGCCATATACGTTAATCGAGATGGGAGTCATATTTTTAGGTCTATAATGTCAAATTTGTCATTGTATTACTTTATCACATTGAACGAACTAATATTTAGTAAACGGAGAACCCCGTTTAAGACTATTTAGGGTAGAAAGTGTATGCAATTATAAAATGAAATGTCTATATATTTTTCTTTTTTTTTTTACTTCTTTATTCTAGATTTAAAATTACTTCACTTTTATTATGATAATAAAGTGTTTATTAAAGAAAGCAATACAAAAAACTCCTTGAATTAAAAAACCAACAGCTACAACAAAATTCAATCAAAGCAAATTATTTTTGAGGCGTACATTTTACGTTACATATTGACACTGTCTTGATTTATTTGGATTAGGATCGTTATATTTGGGAAGAACATTCTGTACTCTGGTAAATTCGTTAAATTTTTAATATATAAAAATAACACAATTAAAACATTAATTTTAATTAATATTACGATTATCAAATCTTAACTAAAATAATAGTTTTTTAATTATTAAAAAAAAATTGTTGTAAAATTGAAATGAATGTTTGCTGTTAGTATTGATTTCACGCCAAAAGAAATCATTTATTACCAAATGAAAACAATCTAGCCAACATGGCAGGATAATATATAGGTGCAGAAGCAAGAGAACTTGATAGATTGAAATTTAAAGACGTGTAAAATGCCAGTTTTTATTTTGTCAAGGTTTATATAAAGGCATTGTTATTGAAAGCAATTAAAATATTAATTGTGTAATACAATTCACATTTTAGATTACTCATTTTAATTTTTATGTTTAATTCCTTAAATACAAAAAGTAAATCAAAACTGACATGTGTTAGGCCATAAGAATGAACGTTTGAGAACGAGGCAAAAATAATAATTAATATAATAAGATTACATAAAAGATGTATTTTATTTATTTGAATAACCTATAATTAATATTACTTAAAAAATAAAGTTTTTTTCAAAGTGTTTATTTAATACCCTTTAAAATATTAAAATGATTAGAAAGAATATAATATAAATTACAGAGTAAAACAAGATTGTTTAGCATCATCAAAAGAAATAAAGTGTAATTACTTT